TGCATTGCAGTCCCTGCTCAAAAAAAAGTCTTGCCTTCACTTAACCCTAAACCCTAAACCCTAAAACCCTAAAACCCTAAACCCTAAACTCTAAACCCTTATCGTCGTGTACCAGGAACCTCGCCTAGACATGTTCGAGAGTGAGTGCTGAAACCCTAAACCCTTCTACGAGTGTGAGTGCTGAAACCCTAAAAAGGAGCCTCTGGCAGCGGAAAGCATCGAGCGAGAAACCCTAAAAAGCGTGTCGTGCTCAGTGCCTCGATTGAGCCTCAACTGCTCGACAGGATGCCGAACAGCAGGAGAAGGCCAAGCAGGCCTGCCCTAAACCCTAAACCCTACAGTTTAGGGTTTAGGGTTTAAGGTACCCGAAACCCACACCACTCCGGAGAGAAGCCTTGCTCTCCTGTAGAAGCGGCGCTAGGCCGCAAGGAGTTCTCCGCGGTGCCTCTTGCCGAATTGCATAGCAAGTGCCGAAAGTCTCGTGCCGTGTCAGAGGGGTAGGGTTTCGGGTTCGGGTTTAGGGTTTTGGGTTTAGGGTTTGGGCCTAGGGCGTAGGGTCAATGTAAAGAGCATTCAGAGGGAGGAGCCTCGGCAAAACAGACGCAGAATTTGGAGATACTCTGTGGGCCAAGCTGCCTTGACAGAAGACAGACTCACAAGCCACTAGAGGCTTCGGCTAAAACTCGGGGAAGGGTATCAACTCCTCAAGCTCATCGGACAAGAGCCACACAGTTTACGGTGCGAAGGCCGAGCAGCTCCCTGCCGTCTCGTTGTCTTTCGGACAACCTTCTTGACGGTTCAAGAACATGTGGGACATGTGGGAGTTTCCGAAAATAAGGGGTACCTTATTTTGGGGTCCTTATAACAAGGATCCTACGATTTAGGGTGCCATATTAGGGTCCCCTAATTTCGGAAACCCCCATGTGCTGCTCAAAATGAACCCTGACTGCATGGTCGATTCATCGAATGAGACAGTATCGGCGAAGCCAACTGGAGCACAGTGTGTTTGCTTCGAACGGAAGAACCTGATTCTTGACCCAGCTACTGCATTGCTGCTGAGACTTGTGGGAGTTTCCGAAGATAGGGGGTACCTTGTTTGGGCTCCGTATAATAAGGATCCTACTGAATCCTACTATTTAGGATCCCTAGACCCTAAACCCTATATTAGGGTCCCCCTATTTTCGGAAGCCCCCTTGCCGTCAGGCCGAGCTTGAACGTTGTCGTGTGCGCGACCGACGTTTGGCACAGCATCGCCGTCAGATGGCCGAGAGGTGGCCGATCATGACGATCGTCAAGATGGGAGTTTCCAAAAACAAGGGGTACCTTATTTTGGGGTCCTTATAACAAGGATCCTACTATTTAGGGTGCTATATTAGGGTCCCCTATTTTCGGAAACCCCCAGATGATGGTTGAAATACTGTTTGGGTGCAGATAATGCCCAGGATGGGGACGATGGCGCTAAAGATGGTATTGGTGACCGTGCTTATGACGATGATAGTTAGGATCAAGTCAAAGGCTTTCCATATTGATGAGGATTATGACCGGGAGGAGAGGCAGATGGCAATGGTGTTTAGTGGCGGCATTGATGACGACGACAACGACGTCGATGACTGCTACTGTTGCTACTATGCTGCTCCTGCTGGCGCTTGTGGGTCACCGCCACAAACAGAAGCTCGGAAAATACCAAAGCAGTCGGCTTCAAGAATGAAATAAATTTCCAAACAAAATAGAAAATCAGCGAAATACTCAAGCAAGGCACCATGCATTTTAGCACACAAGAGTGTCAGACAATGATCGGCCTTCCCGTCTCACAGGGGGAGGGGGGCGCCGGGGGTACGACGACCACGACGACGAGGACTCCTTACATAAAAGCTACTTGGTGTTGCCGCTGCTGCTCGCTTCTGCAGCTGCAAGCGCTGCCTGGAAGCCCCAAGTTGTGCACGCCGAAAGACACAGGAGAAACATCATCCTGGTCACTTTGGCAGGTTCCGGCGGCCCCCGCCGGCTCCAGTTCGGCAACAGCCGGAAGTTGCAAAGGCAGCGAGCGCTGTGCTCTTCCTAAAATTCGAGCATCCGAGATCATGAGAAGCAGCAAGAAGCACCCTGGCCCATCTAGTGACATACACGCAATACACCCGGGAAAGCCTTGTGCACTTGCGATGGAACGTGCTAGGAGCACCGTTGAAGTGCTTTTGAAATGCTTTTCCAGCCGCTGGAGTGCTTCGAAGAAGTCATGCAACTCCCCCCAGACTTCTACCATGTTCAAGAAGTGTTGACAGGGGTTTTGGTAATCAGCAGTGGGTTGGATATTCTAAAGGTACGTGGAGGCACGCTAGAAAGCAAGCGGCATCTCGTATCACGTTAGGGATGCGGACGTCCATTGCTGGGACCGGAAACCACCTTCTGTCTTGCAGAGACTTCCCCAAATGGGTCCTCGTACATTACATATTCTTTTAAAGCTCAAAAATGGGGTTCCGAAAATAAGGGGTGCCTTTATTTTGGGGTCCTTATAATAAGTATCCTATTATTTGGGGTACTATATTAGGGTCCCCTATTTTCCGAAACTCCCAAACAAAGGTACATCTTCGAAAGTACTCAGAGACTTCCTCGGGAGGCTACACAGCTTCGGCCTCGCAGTGCGCCGGCGGCCTCGGCCGCGACCGTGGCGCGCCGTCGAGGCCTTCTCTCGTTGCATGAAGTGGGAGTTTCCGAAAACAAGGGGTACCTTATGTTGGGGTCCTTATTATAGGGATCCTACTATTTAGGGTACTATATTAGGGTCCCTTATATTCGGAAACCCACAAGTAGAGGCTTACACATAGGGTTCAAGGATCTAGAGGGTTGGGACATCAGGTTTGGTTTTGGTTCGAAGGTGTAAGGGCTTAGTGCATGATGTTTAGGGTGTTTCTAAAATGGTGTAGCATGGTTGAGCATTGGAGTACGAGTCCAGATTTTGAGCGTTTCACAGCTTTTTGACAGTATAGGGCATGTGGGGCAGGCCATCAGTAGACAGACACGAGAGTGTAACCGCAACGGTGTCGGAACAGTACTTTGCAGCTGTTCGCGTGCTTGTGAGAGGGTGCACGTAGTTGAACTATCTCTGTTCAAATTATCATAACTTAGGCTACAGCTGAAAGCAAAGCACAGCTGGAAACAAGGATCTATGTCAATAAACTTTCTGACTTCAGCCCCCCAACATGTGCCACGATGACCTTGAACTGATACCAGTCATCTGAGCATGATGCCCGCCATCTCAAGTCAGCCGAACATGTGTTCCACACACATTCCGAGGTCTTGAAGACTTTCAAGCACAGGGTTTTGCCCACTGGGGCGTTCAGGTCTGCACCTCTTTGCGGAGAGCCTGGATGCAGCTACGAGGATGCAAACGATCCGATAGATCCGTCCGCCTGTCCACCTGCCGAAGCTATACAGTATACAAGCGCCGTCTAGGAGCGGCATCAAACAGCAGAGAAGCCGCTGGAAGAATCAGGAGCTTGTAGATCATGAAAGCAGTAGTAGTACTTAGTCATGGGAAATTGCAGATGGCAGGGGAGCGAGGGAACCAGCGCGGTCTCTGGTGACCAGAGCAAGACGGATCGCAACAGGTTGAGCTCCGGTAGAACTTCAAAGATCGTGAGGGGTGGTAAGTATTCATCGTCTTCGTGCCATAAAGCAGGTTGCAGTGCGGTTGACAGACTCCTGTGCGAGGTTTTGCCGCATTTAAGTCATTTAAGTCTAGCGCAATAAACACAGAATACGATACCCGATGCGATTGCTCTATGATATGATGGAATACGAACTACTGTACAATGATGTACAGTTCCACGCAATACCAATCGCTTGCTAAATGTAGTGTTTCTTTGGTTTTTGCTACATCCACTGGTGCAAGCAGGCAGGTTCTTGCCCCATCCATGCTTGTCGCAGTGAGTCTCAACGCACCCAGGCTCACAGCCGCTACTTGCTCCGACCGCGGACGGCAACAGGTGAACCCATGTCTTGCAGTGCTGTGCGAGCATCTGGAGTCAAAGGGGGTTGCGATAGAGGCCTGCTGTCAAAAACGGGAAGTCATTCTGTTCAGAACATGGAATTCCCGTGGTGCTCTTCTTAGCCGTCAGCTGTTTAGAGGCAGGATGAGCCGAGCGAAGCCAGCAAAGTCTGGAGACTCGCCCCACAAGATCCAAAGGCGGGGTCAGCTTTGCAGCTCTGCAAGCCGCCCTTCTTGGGCCTTCGTGCACTTGACAGGCCGAAGAGCGCTGCTGCCCTCTGCTGCGTAACCTGCGGCCGCAAGGCCTCCCCCGCCTTGAGCTTCGGGCTCTTTGCTGGGAGGGCCTCCGATGGCAGTGGAGAGGGTTGAACGTCTCAAGCGGTGTCGGCGAGAACGGGCAGCGGAGGCACTGCCAGGACCTGCGAAGACCCGAAGAGCGGTTGAGTTAGCTCATCTTAGTTCTGATCCCATGGCTTCGAGGGAAAGTGACAGTTCTGCGGCCAGGTGGAGATGTGAACGATGGTGAACGCATGTTTCACTGCTTGGCTTCCGCAGTCAAGACGGCTGTGAGGCGGTTGCGGCATTCACGTTGCTAAATTGCTAGGCATGTTGCCCGGCACGATGCAAACGCAACTCCGTAGATCAGTCTTGCATCATGGGTCCGCATGAAAGTAGCAGGGACCTTTGGCCAAAGGCCAAGGGTGACACGAACGACAATGCCTGTGTACGTGGCGTTGGCGCTGGGTGGCAACCGAAGCCTGTGCAAAGGTGACGTTTCCCAAGACCTGGCTGGCCCGAGTGTGAGCGTAAACCCTAGGCCCCAGGCATAGTCGGGACCTCCAACCCTGGACCAAACAAAACCGGAACCCCCTACGCCAACCCTAAACCCTAAACTGAACTACATTAATCCAGACATGCTGTTTGAAGTCCCCTTCAACGCGGCCAGGAAAGAGCTCACCCGCATTCCTCTTTCTCCAGCACTTAGACGATCGGCTCTGCTTTGGGCACAGCTGAGGCAAGATGTGGAAACAGGCTTGGAGCCACAGAGTGCCGCACCTAGTGTGCCAATGCGTCAAGCAAACCCGGTCTGTGTAACAACATGATCACAACCGATATCGAGAAGTCCCCTCCAAAAGTTGGAGCTGAGGATCGGAGAGGCAGCCCATGCTCATCAAGACGACGACTGATGAGAGCATGGGGAGCCTGCCCGGGTCTCATCCGACTAAAAAGGCGAGCTCTTTGGTGCAGTGTGCCTCTCGGACCTCCGAGGCCCTTCCCCGGGTCACCGATGCAGGGGGGGTCTCCACTGCCCAGTCCGACGGACAGGCTCTTGAGTGTGATTCCCTCTTTTTTTTCGCAACCCTAAACCCTAAACCCTAAACCCTAAACCCTAAACCCTAAACCGTTGCCCGGCTCCTGTGCAGGTTTATGAACTCCCCCGGAGGCAGCCTTAGCGGCTCCACGCGGGGCCCCCGGAGCCTGGTAAGTTGACAGGATGGACCGTACTTGGAGGATCATGGGACTTTAGTAAGGTTATACGTCCCCTAATTGGGGTTATAAGTCTAGTTACCCTAGTTATAACCCTACTTACTAAGTCCCATGATCCTTTAAGTAGAGAGTGTGAAGGGGTTGGTGGCGAGTCACAGATACTTTCCCGGTTGAACTGAAGCCAGTGTCACGGTGCTGAGGAAGCATGCGTGCTTCGCCATTTCAACACAGGACCATGCCTAGACCGCGCAGCTATGTTGGTGTCCTTCAGGAATGTCGCCAGCGACAGGTGGCTTTGGTCAGATGGTTCACTTGTCGGGGCTTCGCCTCTCGGAGGGAAGCCCAGGTCAAGGGAGCTACGATGGCGGGTTGCAGAAGATGGACACATCAGAACGCCGGATGGAAGGAAACTCTGTGACATGATAGTTGGCAACGGCAACAAAAACAAGGTCGAAACGTGGTTTGATCCTCATTGGGGGGGTGCGAAATGGGAGCTGAAGTGGTCAACATCTCGAATTCTGCGTCCGGACGGAGGATCTTCGCCCGGAAAACGGATGGCCAAGGCGGCCAGCACGGCTTCGGAATCATTAAGCAGTGGGAAAACACCAAGGACCTGGTGTGGGAGGTGGTTTCTTTGGATGCCAAGGCCGCAGAGGTTGCGGAGGAGGGGGAGGGGAAATCCCCTGGGACGAGATCGCTGACAAGGCCAAGGCTGCCGGAGTCTCCATGAAGGAGGCTGTTCTGGAGATGGGTGTGGCTGCGAAGGAGAAGATCGAGGCAATCCCCTGGGAGGGGATCCAAGCGAAGGCCAAAGAGATGGGGGTCTCTATGAAGGAGGCGGCGAAGTCCTTCTGTTGGGAGGAGATGACCAAGAAGGCCAGAGCTCTGGCGGCGGCCGTGAAGAAGAAGATGGATGAGGTGCCCTGGGACGAGATTGCGGAGAAGGCGAAAGCCACCGGCGTGTCGATGAAGGACGCTGCGGTTGAGATGGGCCTTTCTATCAAAGAGGCGGCAGAGGACATTCCCTGGGACGAGATTGCCAAGCAGGCCAAAGAGTACGGTGTCTCCATGAAGGAGGCTGCTGGAAACATCAAATGGACTGACATGGGCAACAAGTTGGAGAAGCTCGGGGACAAGCTGGGCGCGATGGAGAAGGCGCAGGAAAAATCAAGCTCCTGGCTCTGCTGTGAGACGGTGGACCGACAGCGGCCGACGCGGATTTGAATGCCAAGTGATCTCCGGCTCAGTGTTAATGTTCTTCCTTCCCAACATGTTAATGACTCGCAACGAGGAGATGTTACGGTTGGTTAGCAGTGCTTCTCCGAAGGAGAGAGCATTGCTTGGCTCGGCAGCGAAAGCTGTGCAGGTGCACCAGTGATTCATCATCCTCGCTAGAGCAAACACCGCTCCGATGGAATCTCGCTTTGCTGCTCCACGAGGGACTGCCAAAGTACCTCACATCCGCATGATGAGCGGCCGCAGGCGGCAGCAGTTTCAGGCAGTGAAGCTGGGCACGGCTCTCAGCTCGAGTTTGCTTCGCAGGAATGCCTTTCAGAGTCCCCGTAGCCGTGGAGGCTTTGCTCAGGGCTCCCAGTAGGGTTTTCGGCAGGCGTGAGTTCAGAAAAGGAGGCTTCACATCCAGGGCCTTGCTTGGCCCAGGAGGCTTCCAGAACCCTCAGCTCAATGCCTTGTTCGTGGAGCGGAACTCTCCTGAATTCCGAGTTCCTTGGCCACGCACTAGCACTTTGGGCGATGACCTGGGCGCAGAGTCTGCCGATGCCGGCAAGCCTTACTGTTCTCTGAGGTGAATGACCGTCGCCTGCCTGCAGATGCAGCTGCGAGCACCTAGTGAGGGAGAGTGGGGAGCGGGAATGGTTCCACCAAGAACTGGCCAGGTGAGACATACTGGCCAGCGAGTGGGCAGTACTTTATCTACCGCAGTGCCGCCCCAGGCTGCTCAGGATTCTCTGTTGCTTGGCATGTTCTGCCTGCCTACCGGGCCCTTCATTGCTGCCCTTTCTGGGCCGAAGGCTTCGATCGGGAAATGTTCTAATTGCACCTTGACGTCTTTAGATCTTGCCGCTGCTGCGCTATGCTCAGGTGCACAGACTCCGAGTGAGGGGGGGTAAAGTTAATCATGGGAATAACACTAGCAGCACAGCTCCAAGTCAGCCAGTTCAGCAGTCGCGCACGGGGTAGCCAGACATAGCCGGACGCGAGCGCAAGAGGGATTTTTTTGGGGCGTTATTCGGCAGACAAGATACGTAGCTTATTTCGGGTAGACCCGACCACAACCTTCTGGACGATTTCCAGCCATGGCCCCCGAAGTGACCGCCGGGCGGTTTCAAGGAGTCTTTCTTCAAGTGCTCGACAGCATCGCCATTCGAGATGGCGAGTTGGTCGGAAGCTCCTCAGACGGATATAAACAGGATACGAATGACGTTGCTTCCTCTGGTTTCCCTTTGAGACCGGATTTTCCCCGTGTTTTATGGCCCCTAGAATCGCGAAATTCGAGGTAAGGAGCTGGCCTTGCTCCAGAAGGGAGACTTCTGCAAGGTGCTGAGAGTTGGAGCCGCGCACGGCGCCGGCTTTCGGCTTCAAGTTCAGGTGGGTAGTTCTCAAAATTAGGGTCCTTTTTCTAAGGGTGCCGTACTATATTGGGGTCCAAAAAGGGGCCCTAAACCCTAAACCCTAAACCCTGGAAAAAAACCCTAAACCCTAAACCCTAAACCCAGGTCCTGAAGGGAGCAACAGGGCAGGGCTGGATCTCCAGCTCCACGAAGACGGGAAGGCCCTTGGTGGAGATCTGCAGCTTGTCCGAGCTCCGGGCGGCCGGCGTAAGCCCGGTCGTGAATACCGTCGAGGACACCACGCCATCTCTGGATCAGATCCTGAAGAGCTTGGATCGTGATGATACCCACAGGGCGCAGAGGGCACAGGCACAGACACGAAGGCCAGTGAAGGAGATGGAGGAGGAAGTAGACTTAGACCCGGAGGAGGTGTGGAGATCCTTCACAAACCTCGCCCGTGCATCAAGAAAGGAGGCCGAGAAGAGCGAGGCAATCCCCAAAGCGGCTGAGCCTTATCCTGCCTTCATGTACATACAGGAGCCATCCCCCGAGTATCGAGAAGAGGTACATGAGAGGCGTCTGCGCCTCATGGCTCAGGAGAAAGCCCGACGATCGGCCCGAAATCGTGGCTTCGCTCCGCCACCGGAGCCCGTCCTGCCAAGCGCCAGCACAAGATCGAGACCCCAGCCAACAACTGCCGAAATGCCGGAACCAGTCCCGGAATACGTCGCTCCCGAGCAGACAGAGCGCTTTGCCGAAGCGACCTTTGCTGCCCGAGTGGCGCGCGTGGCTCGCGAGAACCCGAACATGATCGGGCAACGCCAGTCGCAGGCGCAAGAGGTTGCAAGAGCCATTGGCATTCCTTTTCCTAAGTCAGAGCTACCGTTCTACAGTTTTTGTCAAGCACCCGTTTTGACAACTACAAATGCAAGCCCCGTTGATGGAAGGTTCCCATCTACAGCCGACCTGTTGGGAGCAACGATGATTTTACCGGCACCTGGATGGATGCCACTGGCATTGACTTCGTGCTGGCGCGCTCTCGGGCTGCGCACATGTAAATGGCACGTGTCCATCTGTGTGTCTATGACGCATAAGTTTGAGCTCGCGAGTGCAACAGTTTATCTATCTGGCGAAACACGGACACATACAGAGATTCACAGGTACACCAGCACACGCACATGCACATGCATGCATATCTGCATGCATACATGTACACATACACACACCAAAAAAGGAAGCATGCTTTTTCATGCATTCATTCGCACTTGCACACATTCGAGCATTTCCACGCAGGCTCATGCTCAAACATATGCGCGCACGCACACATACAGACAGACGGGAGTAATGTGTTCGCACATACGCATGTTTGCATGCATGTGTCAGTCGTATGTGTATCTTTTCCTGTCTCACGCTGTTCAAGCTCTCATAAAGCACATGCAAAGACAGAGAGGGGTGTGCATGGCTGTGTGTCTGCTTGCATGACGAAGGGTGGCATTCCAACTACTGACGTCCTAGCATTCCTCGGCATTCTCATATGGAAGGGAAAAGGTTCAGAGTTCGATCACCCTTGCGTTGCCCCCTTCAGGAGCAGAGTGGCTCCATCGTCATGGAGCGGACTTCGGGCGGGGAGTCCAGCTGTGGAATGGCCGTGCCCTGGTAGATTCGTCACAGTCTTGGTTGCTGCAAGAGCTCGCAGTCTGGTTTCCCAGGTGCGGAACGAATTGACCATGTACGGACGCGTCGGCACTCTGGCCGACGACCTCATCAGGTTCCCGTGCAATGTGCGCATTCGCAAGAGTCCCATCAGCGTTTTCGTTGAGCACATGCGTGCAGCATCGTGCAGCATGCAGGTGGTCTGATGGCTCTGTCTGGGCACGATGCGACACGGATGCCGCGGGGAAGCAGTCATTGCTATGACATTAAAGACTTGACGATGAACTTTCATGGCCGTTACATCGCACGTAATTGAATGTTCGTATCCATGTTTGGTAAGGGGCAACTTTCTGCCGATGCCGACGCAATGTGTGCAGGTTCCACCATGATGCTTTGCCGACCAGTCGTAGTCACCTAAATCCGGGTTGATGCGATGTCTCAGGCACTCGAAACCCAGGCTCAACCAATGCATTCGTCGAGCATGCAAAAGCAACAAATGCATGCCACGCACGGGATCACATGGACCGACCTGTATTTCACATACGCTTTACAGATGTGTTCATCTTGTCTTCCATCTCTATCGATCTCCCACCCCTGCTTCAGCCCTAAATTTTTCGCTGCCGCCCCTCTTTTGCTCTTTCCTTTCCATCCACCTGTCTGCAGCATGTGTTCCTGAAGGCACACGCACTCTTTCTGCTTTGATCAGGATGGCGGCTTGCACCATGTTTCTACACAGTACGCGTATGAAGATGAGGTGCTAGATGCTGCTAGATTTGTACAACACAGGCCAGGTGAGAAAGTGATAAGATGACGAGACGTGGGCAGGGTGCAGCCCGTCAAGCCAGGTACAAGGAATGATGCTGAGATCAGATGCGAAGTATGATGCACGCCGTCTGTCCACCTTGGGGCGGATGCAGTGTGTTTTCGTTGACTTTACCAACTTTTGCCCATTCTTTGAAGGATTCATTCAAAACACTCTAGTTCCTCCTAGTATATTATATAGTCTATGATAGTCCGTTATGAATTAGCAGTCTGGCATGTTCTCGTATATTGTCGTACATCTATCCTAAATCTTCTGCAAGGCCCAAACCCTAAACCCTGGGGAATGACTGGGAAGCAGACATGGCCTCTGCCACATGTGGCATTCGACCTAACTAACTCAGGCAGGTGGAAAAGGGGTGAAAAAAAAAAAACCCTAAACCCTAAACCCTAAACCCTAAACCCTAAACCCCCTAAACCCTGAACCCGGCCGGGGAGCTTCCCTCTGAGGCCCCCATGGAGCTCCCCACGCGGCCGGCGCCCCGGGCATCGGCCAATAACTCGGCCGCTGCCGAACTTGGCGCAAAGCCGTGGAAGGCCGTGGCAGACGTGTTTTTCGGATTGAAGGTATAGGGTCTAGGGTTTAGGGTTTAGGGTCCCCAAAACATGTGCACTGCAACACCACATCAAAAAGGACTTGAAAAGGAGCAGCGCGGCTAAGGGTAGAGGGTCGGGTTCTGGATGTATTGAGATTCATGACCTGCTGAAAGTGGTCCTACAACCCTTTACTCCTGGCCGACTGCTTTGCATTGCCAGAAGCGGGGAGCTTACGACCATCGCCTGCCGCCTGACCTGGCAAACTTGGCCCCGCACTTGGCCTTGCAATCTGTCACAGCCGTGGTTTATATATATATATATATATACATACAGGCTTCTTCGGGGTAAAGGTAGCTTATCAGGATCGGCTGTTCAGGCTCTATACGACGAGGCCCTTACTTTCTGAAGTGCTAAGCGCTTTGCGACAGGTCAGAGCCTAGCAGAAGACACCCCAAACTCCGGAACGAGTTGGTGAGGAATGGATTTGAGGAGTGACGAGGGCCGAACTCCCACACTGCAATACGATTTTACAAACTACACTCCTAGCTTCGACTCCACCATGTGAAACACAAGCAGAAACACCCGGAAGCATCACAACCAATGTTTCGTCTCTCAAGACCACCTCAGGCAATTTCGGGCACTTCACACAGGGAGCTGCAAGTGTCCATATGCCTGCTCGTGGCTCAAGTACTATGGCGAGCTTGGGCCGGTTTGGGCCGGGGACTGTGGGGGGGCCAAGGGGGCCGGTCCCCCTGCGCCTGGAAGGCGCGAGGACGGGAGTCCTTCCGGGTGCCATGCAGGCAGTCGGGCGTATTCCAACCTCTCGTGCCTGGGAGATCCGTGCAGCTGCAACAGTCGCTTTGGCTGCGAAGGTGATCCGGCACAGGATGGTCTCCGTCCGCTGCGCTTCCAATGCGATCATGACTCTCGTCGATGGACATTATCACATGTACAAGAGCTTCCATGCCACGAAGGACACCGGGCTTTGCAACCGGCGAGGCGAACCAACAAACGTCGTGTACAGCTTCATGCAGCAGCTCGAGAGGATCCATCGCGAGTGTGATCCCTCGCACATGGCAGTGATTTTGGACAGCAAGACCTCGTCTTCCTCACGGCGAGAAGTGCTACCAGAGTACAAGAAGCATCGGAGCTGTCCTGAGGCGCTCCTCGTGCAAGTCCCGAAGGTCATAAAGGCCTGTAATGCCATGGGCGTGCCATGGCGGACGCACGAAGACTTCGAAGCCGATGATGTCATCGCCTCCTACACACGCCGATTCAACGCCGAGGTGCCCAGTGGCCGTGTGAAGATCGTGTCAAGCGACAAGGACCTCCTGGAGCTGGTGGGGGATCAGGTGGAGCTGCTCTACAGCGATCCACGCAACCACCAGGCTCCCTTCCTCTCCATGGACAAGGCTGACGTTTGGAACAAGTGGGGCGTTCGACCGGAGCAGATGCCAGACTTGCTCGCACTCATGGGAGATGCCGCCGACAATATCCCTGGAGTTCAGGGTATCGGAGCCAAGAGAGGAGCAGCACTCTTGCAGCACTGCGGCAGCCTGGAGACCATCGTGAGACGGGCAGAAGAGGGCACACTCTCCGTCAAAGGCATCCCCCCAAGGCTCTGCCGGCTCTTGTGCGAGCAAGGACCGCGAGCTCTGGAGCTGCTAGAGCAGGTCGTTCGGCTCAAGGAGGTGTCTGTGGAGCCGGAGTTCGACCGCTTGAAAGTGCCCGAGAGGGATGAGTCCTGGCATTACCGTGTCGCCATCTTCTGTGACTCCGAGGACATGACAAAGCTGAAGGAGCGCCTAAGAAGCGGCGCCAAAACCGCAGAAACGGGCCGTTTGCACGGAGAGCACGGAGAGCGCGGAGACGCAGACTTCAGTCGACCTCTAAGCAGGCCGCCCGAGCGCCAAGACACAGGCAAGGTGCTCGAAGTTCGGACGCTGGACGAAGCCCGAAACGCTTTGGAGCTCTTGCGGAGATATCCGGACGCAACCTTCGCCGTGTTCTCGGCGAGCGATGACACAGATCCAAGGCCTCCCTGCCTCGCGATCTATGGAGGCCCCTCCGTGTGTCTGGGGGAGGAGGGCCGCACCAAGGTCTGGGTGGATCTCCTGGAGAATTCTGAAGAAATGCTTGGCTTGTGGAGGGACTTTCTGGCAGATCCATTGAAGAAGGTTTACCACGTCTATGCGGAGACGCAGCGTGGCTTGAGCTGGGGATGCATCCCCCACATCCCGGAAAAAGGTGGCTTCGTCGCGGATGTGATGCACCTGGCACGCCTCTGGGATCCGACCTTGAACGAGCTAACCTCCGAAGGGGCCTACTCCTTGGCATGGCTTGCAGAGACCCTGTTGGGCACAACTTGGAGGCTGCAGCGACCTCAAGGAGAAAGCGGGAGGAAGAAGATCGCTGACTTGCAGCAGGGGAGATGCAGGGAGGACTGGATCCAGCTATGTGCAGACAGTGCCGCGGCCGTCTTTTACTTGCACCAAGAGCTCCAATCGCTCTTGGCGGAGCAGGCATGGCAAGCTCCCAAGGAGGCCCTTCCTGCGTCGACAGCCTCACTGCTGGACTTCTACACTGAGCACTGGCAGCCCCTGGCCATGCTGCTCTCAGACATGGAGCTTCGGGGTGTTCCCGTGAACCGGGAGAGACTGGAGGCGCTGATCTCCGAGAGTTCCGCGGCTCAGGCATCATTCCAAGACGTCTTCTGCAGCTGGGCGATCCGTTCGGGTGGGCTGGAGGAGGCTTCGGCCCCTGCGTTGAATTTGAACTCGAACCAGCAGGTGGCCCATTTGCTCTTTGGTTCTGGTGAGAGAGAGTTTCCCGGCTCTGTTGTGGCAGAGGAGCCTATCATCCAGCTAGTGCCAGAAGCGGAGCTGTCGTCCAAAAAAGTTCCAGAGCTGAAAGAACTCTGCAGAGAACGGGCTCTGATGGTGAGTGGCAACAAGGCAGATCTCATCCAGCGCCTTTGCGATCCTCAAGTTCAGGGGCAGGCCAGGGCGCGGCGCGCCCCACCGCCCTTGAAGCTTCGGGGTCTCTGTCTGGATGAAGACGACACGGTGACCCGCACAGCTCGCACGGGCAGCGTGCAGCTGACTTTGGAGACCTTGCAGGCACTCGCAGAGCGGGAGCAGCAGCTGCAATCGGAGGCCGCAGAGCCCCTGCAGAGTTTGTTATTCTGGCGCCAGCACGAAGCACAGTTGGGTTTCTTGCGGCCCTTGCAGAGCGCCTGTCACGGAGATCGGGTCCATGCGCAGCTGAACCTGAACACGGCCACAGGCCGCCTTTCGACTCGTAGCCCGAACCTCCAGGGTGAGCCGAAGGGCGGTGGCCACACTGTGCGCTCCGTGGTGGCGGCTCCTTCAGGAAAGCGACTGCTCGTGGCTGACTATGGCCAGCTGGAGCTTCGGCTGGTAGCACACCTGTCAGACTGCCCCACCATGATCTCCATCCTGTCTCAGGGAGGCGACATCCATTCCCGAACTGCCTACCACATGTTCGAGGAGGTTCGGCAGAGTGTGGATGATGGGAAGGTGGCTTTGGAGGGCGATTTTGGGGGAGTGGCGACGGTGAAGGATCATTTTCCGGAGCTACGCAAGCGCGCCAAAACACTGAATTTCGCTTTGCTGTATGGGAAGACTGCTTATTCTTTGGCCAAAGACTGGGATTTGAGCCAAGGTGAGGCATCTGGCATAATCGAGCGGTGGTTTCAAACTTTCCCAGAGATCGAGGCTTGGATGAAACAGTTACACCAAAATGCCGACAGAAGCACCGGTGCTACAGCTGTCACACTGCTCGGCCGGCACCGGCAGCTGGGCCGGTTGACAGGGCGATCCTACAAAGAGCGAGGGCGCACGCGGCGCGTGGCAGGCAACACACCTGTGCAGGGCAGTGCTGCAGACGTTGTCTTGAGCGCCATGGTGAAGGTGGAACGTTCGGAGGTTCTCCGGCGGCTTGGCTATCACCTCGTGCTGCAGGTCCATGACGAGCTTCTATTGGAAGGACCCGAGGAGAATGCCAACGAGGCCCTGGCAGAGTTGCTTCGCCTCATGGAAGACCCGCTCCCCTTCAAGCTCAAGGTGCCCCTCAAAGTGAATGCCAGCCACGTGCAAACCTGGAAGGAGGCTGAGGTCTAAAATTGCGACGCCTTCCGAAGCTTCCCAACTCCAGATGCTCCCTGCATAGCGCCGATGGCACAGCCGGGAACTGTTCTATTTTGGGCGTTTGGGTCTGGACACCCTAAGCCGTTAGCCCAGTTGTGCGTGTTGAAACCCTGAGCCCAGAGGCCCTTGCGCAACAAAGCCGCCTGGAGTGTCCAAACCACAAAAGCCGAGCGTCACCTCAGGTCACCCCCGGGCCCGGTGCTGAGGAGGCGCTGGTCTTCTGTGACTTCCTTCTTGTCAGCAACATCAACATTATCCTCGCCATCATCATGGCCATGGTGATTTCAACGATGATGACTATGCTTAGTACTGCGATTGTTGCGCCTACACTTGTCGATCTCGCAGGTGTAGCGTGGCTTGTGTGCTGCGATTTCGGAGTTAGATGTTATGAGTTCTCAACGTGGGTAGCACCCCCCTGCATTGCTCGATGCTTGTTTGTATACTCCTACCCATGCTGCGATCTGTAGCCACGCTGCTGATGGTCGCTGATGTTGGTTACTTGATTTGAGCGGTTCTTGAGGCCAGTTGCGCGGTCTGACTAACAAACAGAGACCAGAACGTAGGCTGTGTCTGCAGAGTAACGGTGTCGGGAAACCCAGTGGAGACTAGCAGCAAGTTCCGATGCTGGGTTCAAGGAGTCAATGCCGAGGAATTTCGGATGTCTGTTCCTCACCTACATTATGCAACTTTGCTACCAAGTAATGGTTCCAGCCGCGGCAAGGCCCTCGTGAGGGCCTAGGGAGTTTCTGAGGTGTATGGTTCAGGCACCCCCTAAACCCTAAACCCTGAGCTAAAGTGCCGAAAGCTGGATACTGTTTCCTGAAATTAGGTGCTGGACGATGCTTTCCTGTTACAACCTCGTCTGTGAGCATCATGCGAGAGGGAAAAAAACCCTAAACCCAAACCTGTGCGCGTGAACGCGGCCAAATCCAGCCCTGCGAGCCTCTGACCTCCAGGAAGGCCGCTTTGTGGGCGGCCGTGGTCGCACAGCTGGCCGGGCAGATCACGAAGGGGCCTCCTGGCCTCAATCTTTAGGGAATCGGCCTCTTTGCAGTATTGCCGTGGCTGCAAGAATGTAAGGTGAGGAAGACCAGTCTAACCTATTGCGGTGGAGAGGGTGTGCTCTTTGTTCTGAATGTGGCCGTACACTAATGCAACACACACACACACACAAGCACACGAATGCATGCAGGCGTGCGCGCATGCATAAGAACATGCAGGCACACCCACAACCCGATCAGATAAGCAGTTCTATCAGTTCTATCTATGTAGCTGTGTATCTATATATCTAGCTATCTAGCTGTCTATCTGTCTGTCTGTCTATCTATCTATCTGTCTATCTATCTATCCGTCTATCTATCCATCTGTCTACCTACCTACCTATCTATCTATCTATCTATCTATCTATCTATCTATAGACCCTACCTCGCGACTCGCTCAGCCATGTAGGAGGCAAAAAATCTATCTATCTATCTATCTATCTATCTATCTATGTATCTGTCTATCTATCTGTCTATCTATCTACCTATCTGTCTATCGATCTATCTATCTACCTACTCAATTATCTATCTATCCATCGGCCAATTGATCTGTTTATCTGTACTGATTCAGTTGATATAGGACAGGATATGCATGGCTTTATACTCTTCTGTGTGCATGTATGCATACTTCTGCACGGAACATCTGCAATAGGCCGTAAACCGTTTCTTCGTCTGTGCCTGGTTTATGTTTTTGTGCGCTGAACAGATCCGAGGAACAGCGGCTGTGGTTCGCGCCGTGGACGGGGCAGGGGCTGTAGGGCCTGCAACAACAAAGGCTGAGAAGATGCATGTGCCTTTTGACTACCCCCGCCCAACATGACTCGAGACCGGAAGTAGAGCTGAATCAGCATCACCTTCCCAGCCTTGACCTGTGGCTGGAAGCGCGGTTGGACTTCGAACAAATTTTGAGAAACAGCTGTTTGCTACTGACTTTGTGCTGGGCCCCTTGATGTGACACCACGCTCTTGAAGCTGCTCTAGTCTAGCGTCTGCTTCTGCCAAGGTGCCGGCACAAACACCTGGGGCATTGCAAAGGCAAGGCGTTTCCAGGCCGTGAAGGACCTCGCGGACCCTAAACTCTGGGAATTACGGTATATTCCTGACTAATTATGGGTAATGCAGGATTTATATCATCAAACCGCATGTCGGCTTTGGTAGCCAGGTTCAGAGCCGTAAGTGTTGGAAAGGGGACAAAGAGAAGTCGATGTCAGTGCCAGGACGCTAAGAGCAATGGGGTGGCACACAGCCCGTCGGGGTGAGGCCCTCAGGATCTATCCGTGGGGGATGCCACTCAGGCCTGGTAGGAGGGGATTTGTAGAAAGCATGTACGTATATAGTATTTAACAGCTAATACAGAATATGGAATACAGATTCTTAATACGACATCATTCAGCAAAACGAAGATATATTATACGTTCCGTCCTAAACCTAATCAGTACGGATGCAATAAAAAAAGGAGATAAAATATACAGTTTATACAGTGCTGGAGCGCTTTGAGGTTCGAGCTGTGGCTCGAAGCAGATGAGAGGCAACCTTCTCAACGGCCGGCGGCCCAGTTCAGCGCAAGGCTGAAGCCGTTGGCCCCTGTAGCTTCAAGCTGCTTCAAGATTTTTATGAACCATTACGGACATCTTCCGTTCGTGACCATTTGAGTGAGAAGAATTAGGGACTCGCAGGTGTTTACGAATGTACCAGGCTTGACAATCCAGTCGAAAGGCTTCGGAATCCGCGGCAGCGCCTGAGAATGTCTGAAGTTTGCCCCGGGCCGTCTCCTGAAGCTACTCCCATCCTGAAGGCAGTCCCGATAAGGCTTACAACCTCGAGCCTCACATCCAGAGGCGCTATCAGTACTATTCACTCTTCCACGTCATCGTTTCGATGACTGCTGTCTCGCTTACTGCTGCCCTGAACAGATAGGGGCCCGGATTCCCCGAAGTCGAAGCTCAAGACACCGAGGGTGGTGCGAGGCATGTGGATATTTAGTAGGGTTTCGGGTCCAGGAGTGTGTGGTTTCGAGTTTCGGCCGTATTCCAGTGGTTTGGGGACTCTTGGAGTACATAAAGACATAAAGATGTATCTTGGATACAGCCCCCACTCTAGAGCCGCTCCGTTCCGGGGACCTCCCAGGAAGGGCTGGCGTGAGTGGGACATACAGCAGAGCAAGTGGGCCGGCACCCTGGGATCTGAAAAACCTATGTGTATTTATGCAAAAGGATAGTTCTCTAAATCAGGGTCCCTTTTTGGGTCCCCAAAATAGTACGGCACCGGACTGAAAGGGACCCCGAATTTAGAGAACTACCTAACTACCCATATAGTTATATCAAAGTACAACAACTTGTACATATCTGTACATATTAAGACAAGATGGTGTATGAGTGTATGGACAATTCTGTCTCTGGTTCATCACTTAAGACAGAGAGGTGCTGAGTTGGTCAGACATTCTTCGGTCTTGACGAGCACATGCACACCGTTTGCATACGGCATATGGCTAGGCATGTGTTGACTACACATGCGCCACAGTGCACAGATGCACATGCACATGCAAACGCAGGTGCAAACCTACATCCGCAAGTTCGAGTTTGCTGTGGCGCATGTGACAATGACTTATGCTTCTGGAGTCTCCTTATAGCGTCAAGGCGTTTGCATAGATATTTTGTGGAAGTTTTCTCGTTCATCCATGCAGGATGACTTGGCTAGTAAGCGTATTGTAATGCTCGGTACCTCAGGCAGTGTGCAGCACTGCTTCATAAACTTCATCGGGTAGACCGCATTTTACTAATCCATAGCTTCTTACAGACCTCTCTGACACCACACGTCAAGGTCCAACGACCGGAAGCCGGTGTTGTTAGTCGTGGAAAGGCCCTTGGGCGAGATGTGTCGGATTAGGGTTTAGGGAAAAGGGTTGGCGAAGTGGAAAGCCTGTTGCAAAAAGGGTTTACCTGTTTCGGTTGCTCACTATTCCTTCGACGTTCCAGAGCCCAGAGCGCGGAGCAAGTCACAGAGCTTTGCCCAGAACCCTGGCAGGTGCGTCCGAAAGCAGGTGCAGGTGTGACCGTGCCAAAGGCAGAGGTGCCATGGGATCAGAGTGGATTCATGTATCAAGTCCGGTTCAATTCGCGGTAGTGGACAAAGCGGTGTCGGATCGTGGTTTCAGAAATGCTTGCCAGTGGTACAGGGGCTGTCAGCCCAGAGTCGTGGAGCATCCATTATGGCGTTCCATGTGCTGATATGGCTCGAGCTTGAACCAAAAACAGTTTGAGATTGTGCGTGACCCACATCCGCCAGCATGGGATACCCCTCGGCACCGGGAAAAGGTGGCTTTGGTGCGTATCCTCAGAGCCTTGACAAGCATTGCAGCCTGCTACTGCTGCTGCTGCTGCTGCTGCTGCTGCTATGCTCGAGCTGCTTCTTTCTGTTTCTGGTACAGTCATCACGACGACCCGCGACGATGCAGCAGCTGCTGCTGTTCCCCCTCCCCCTCCCCCTCCCCCCGCTTGCCACGACGACAGATATCTCGACGACCACGACACCGCTCTAGGCACTCACAAGCTGTCGCACTGGCTCTCACGAGGAGCGGACTCCGCTTGCAATTTCCCGGGCTTGAGTCGCTAGAGTTTTAGAGTTTAGGGTTTAGGGTGCTTGCAAGAGTCCTGGATGCCAAAAAAGGGTTTAGGGTAACCCTTGGTCCTGCGCTCAGTGGGGTGCTGGCATTCATCAAGTCCAGATGTAGAAGGGTAAACGAGAAGGCCCTGCTGTTGAGGTGTGTTCGCTGGCACACAATCCAAGCCCATGCTGAAAAGGGTTTAGGGTTTTAGAGGATGCTGATGCCCAACAGTCGCAATAGGCCTGGTTTCAAAAGAGTATGCTGATGAGAGGGTGACCTTCTCCTCTTTGTCGTCATCGTTGCGATGTGGGAGTTTCCGAAAATAGGGGACCCTAATATAGTACCCTAAATAGTAGGATCCTTATTAAATATAAGGACCCCCAAAGAAGGTACCCCTTATTTTTGGAAACTCCCATGTTGCTCCCAAGGATCGGTACCAGTGCCGAGCCCCTTCCGCAGCAGCGCGCCCCCGCGCCCATACCCGAGCCGGTAAAGTCCGATGAGACTTGGAGTTCAACAGCTTCAACTGTTTAGGGTTTAGGGTTTAGGGTTTGAGGGTCATGGATTCGCCCTTAGCCCCTAAACCCGAAACCCTAAACCCCTAAACCGTAAACCCTATATAAACCCTAAACCCCAGTTTAATTAGATTTGAGCGAGGCGAGGCTTCTTGGCTTTCATGCAAGAACAGGGATGACAATCGTGCCTGGTCTGAGGATGATTGGAAATCCCAGATCCGTCGGCCCCCAGCAGATCAACGCTTCCGCAACTCAGCTACCAGAAGACCCTGCCTGGTGCAAAGCACAGGGAATCATCCTTCGCAGAGGCTCAAGACGGAGAGCAGCCGAAGTCGTAGAACCGCAGGCTGCACGCAGGGATTGTGCAACACGATTTCACTTCACGAGCGCCTTGCCATAACCATCTGGGCCATCCCAGTGCACAAGGGGCTGTGTTAAGCCCAAAGAGCCCCAAGAGGTGTGCGAGTCTAAACAGTAGGGATGATAGTGGAGCCGTAAGCAGTTTAGGGTCAAAATGTGCCCGAGCCGAGTCATGGCACTCGTTCTTGCCCTTTGTACCTTGCACCTGGCGGCGGGCATGAAACCTCATTTGCTGTTCATCGTAGCAGATGACTACGGTTGGGGCAACTTGGGTGTCCATCGCCGGGATGCTGGAGATTCCCTGGAGGAGCTACAGGGAAAGCTGGAGGTTCACACGCCCACTCTTGACAGGCTCATCGACGAAGGGATCTTGTTGGACCGCCACTACGCCTATCATCAGTGCGCTCCCAGCCGTTCCTCCTTGCAGTCGGGCCGCCTTCCAGTGCATGTGAACCAGGCCTTGAGCGAGCAAGACCTGATGTTAGTGAATCCGAAGGACCCGGTGAGCGGCTATGCAGGGATCCCGCGGAACATGACGTGCATAGCGGAAAAGTTGCTCGCGGGGGGGTATAGCACCCACATGGTCGGGAAGTGGGATGTCGGCAGTGCGACGCCGCAGCACTCACCAAAAGGGCGGGGATACGAGACTTTTTACGGCTTCTACGGTCACTCCAACGATTATTGGCACGCGACAAACGCGATGACTTCAGCGTTCGGAGCTGTGGACGTGTGCTTGAACCAAATGAGAGATTTGTCCATGCACAATTCGAGCTACTGCGGTCCCGTTCTCGACGACGTCTCCTTGTCAGCTGTATGCGAAAGCGACGTTGAGAAGGAATCGGAACCGTCATGTTACGAAGAGCATCGTTTCAAAGAGAGGGTGCTGGAGATCATCCGGCTCCATGACACGGAAAAGCCCTTGTTCCTGATGTATTCCTTCCATTTGCTTCACACTCCTTTGCAGATTCCGCAGGTGTGGCTGCGACGAATCGACGACCTTGTCAAAGGGGCGGGTGGCGATCCGATTGATTCCAAAAGTCGACGACAGTATGCTGCCATGACTCTTTACATGGATGCCGCGGTGGGTGAAGCAGTTGAAGCCTTAAAGAAAAAGAATATGTATGACAACACGTTGATCATCTTCGTTTCCGACAACGGCGGTCCAATCTATGAGCCCGGTGGTGCCTCAAACCATCCTCTGCGAGGAGGAAAGCAATCTCTTTTTGAAGGAGGTCTCCGAACGAATGCCTTTGTCTCAGGCGGCTTCGTACCTGAATCTCGACGTGGCACGAAGTTTGAAGGCGTCATAAGCATTGCGGACTGGTACGGGACGCTTGCAGAGCTTGCCGGTGTGGACACCGAGGATCATAAAGCCGAGGCGGCCAACAGCTGGCTACGGGAAGCGGGCCTCTCCCTGCTCTTTCCGGTCGACAGCGTGCCACAGTGGCAGAACATCCTCCAGAACCGCAACGGAAGAGCTGATCCTCTGCATCTGACCACACAAGTCCTTCTGGTGTGGCCATACAAGTTGCTCACTGGCAAAAGCAGGTTTAGTGGCTGGACAGGGCCCGTCTATCCGAACTGCTCCACGGTGCAAAGCGTTCGAAGTCAACAGGGACCAATGGCCGTACCGATGCATTCAGATGCTGCTACATTCTTGCCCGAGATCTCCGACGAAAACAGTAGGGACTTGCAATCCTGGTCTGTGGACTGCGGTGAGGGTTGCCTCTTCAATCTGAGGGATGATCCGGCGGAGCACGTGGATCTAGCCAAAGATCCTGGCCACAAAACCATCTTTCGAAACATGCAATGGACGCTGCAGCTCATGAACAAAGACACCTTCAATCCCGAACGTGGATTGCCTTCTGTGGAAGCTTGTATCGTGGCTATCGAGCACGGCCGAACCCTCGGCCCTTTCGTGGATGCCGGCGGGTTCTACAGCCCTACACCTGCGAGGAGTCCAGATCAGCAAGCTGAAGATGCCGTACTGAGTTCCACGCTTCGCATCATGAGCATGGACAAGAACAAGCTACGGTTTGTCGAGGAGCTGAAGAAGGAGGCGGAGCATGCTCCGCACGAGTTTGACGAGTGCCTGGTGCCGAGGTTTGGGGTAGAGCAGTAGGCTTGTGCATACCATCATCTCGCCAGAACGGTCGGGTGCTCATGGCGCTTTTGTTCGTTGGGATAGGAAGCCTGGGTCGCTAGGCGGAGTAAGCACTTTCTGTGCATGTGCGTGTTGTTACAGAAGCTTTCCCGTAGGTTTCGCTTGTACCCTGCACTTAAAACTAGGCCACCCGTAATGGGTTGATTTGGGCGAGGCTTTCATGTGGCGATGTTCAGTCGTCTCACCCACGTGGCAAGGGCCCTGCAGTATTGCACGAGTGTAAATGCATGACACCAGTCCTTTGTAACTGCCTGTCGTCTGTTTGGACTTCTCTTGTTTAGACACCTCGCCCGGACTTGTGCCAGTTGTGAGGTCGAATCCCCAAACCCGTCAGCAAAAGGCTTTCAGGGCCCTTGGACACATTCGGGTAGTTGTCAAAATTATGGTCCTTTTTGGGGTACCCTAAATAATAGGTGCCGTATTATAATAAGGACCCAAAAGGGGACCATAATTTTGACAACCACCAATTCAACTCTCAGCTTTTCTTTCTGACTTTACCCTGCAATGCGGGTTCGTCCTGGCCAGGGGGAGGCAAAAAGACTGCACATGCCTCGCCTGGATTGTCCGAGTGTGAGCGTCCAAAGCCGCAACCCTACACTTTGCCGAGGCACCGAAGATGTGACGGCCACCAAGGGCAATGACTTTGAGGATTATTTCCTGAAGCGTGAGCTCCTCATGGGGATCTTCGAGATGGGCTATGAGAAGCCATCCCCTATTCAAGAGGAGAGTTTGCCAGTTGCACTGGCAGGGAAATCCATCTTGGCCCGTGCTAAAAATGGCACCGGCAAGACCGGAGCCTTTGTAATTCCCATCCTCGAGAAGTGCAATACCACCAAGAAGCTGGGTTGCACTTGGGGAAGCTGTATCGCAAGCTTCCTGATGGTCCTACATGCAGGTACTGTTTGTAGTGGTACCTACCCGATAAGCACCTTTGCTCTATACGGAGCTACTCTTTCATAGGGGTAGTTCTCTAAATTAGGGTCCCTTTTATTTCGGGTCCTTCCTACAAGGGTGCCCTGCCCTATTGGGGACCATGGGGACCTAAAAAGGGACCCGAAAGTGGGCAACTACCCATAACTACATTTGCAGACAACCTAAACCCTAAACCGGAAACCCTAAACCCATAATCTGCAATGAGTAGGAGGCAAAAATCCCATAACTACAGTTGCAGACAACCTAAACCCTACACCCTAATCCCATAAATACATTTGCAGACAGCCCAGGAATGCCATCCAGGGACTTATTTTGGTACCGACGCGCGAGTTGGCATTGCAGACATCCTCGGTGGTGAAAGAGCTGGGGAAGCACATGAAGCTAGGCCAATCTTGGTATTCAGTGTTTTAGGGGTTCATAGTATTTTTCCAGGGAAGCCCACAACCCAGGAATGTGCAGTGCATGGTCTCGACCGGTGGGACAAGCCTTCGAGAAGACATCATGCGCCTCTACAACGAGGTACATATCGTCGTCGCAACTCCAGGGCGTGTCCTGGATCTTGCGAACAAGAATGTGTGCAATTTGAAGCAGTGCCAGATGGTTGCAATGGACGAGGCTGACAAGCTTCTCTGCCCAGAGTTCCAGCCGATCATTGAGGATCTGATCAAGTTTCTGCCCCCGGACAGACAGATCCTCATGTACTCTGCGACCTTCCCAATGACCATCCTGGAGTTCAAGAACCGGTTCATGAACGAGGCCCACGAGATCAACTTGATGGATGAGCTCACCCTGAAGGGCGTGTCGCAGTACTACGCCTTTGTGGAGGAGCGCCAGAAGGCTGCTCTGAGTAAGATTTGGGGTTCCCTTGTGTAGCTGGAAGTAGACCTACAAGCCATCCCTACCTATATCTATTTCCATACATGTGTACACACGCACACACACATATATACATACACACATACAGCATATATATATATATGTACACACGTATATATATATATATATACATACATATATATACATATATATATATACACATATATATATACACATATATATATATGTATATACATACATATATGTATATATATATATATATACACCCACATTTAAGTAGACCCTGCTGGCGGGCTGAGGTCCATTGCCTGAACACGCTCTTCTCCAAGCTTCAGATCAATCAGGCCATCATCTTCTGCAACTCTGTGACTCGTGTGGAGCTCTTGGCGAAGAAGATCACAGAGCTGGGCTACTCTTGCTTCTTCATTCACTCACGGATGTACCAGTCGCACAGAAACCGAGTCTTCCACGACTTCCGCAACGGTGCCTGTCGGTGTCTAGTGTCCTCGGACCTCTTCACCCGTGGCATCGACATCCAGTCGGTGAATGTTGTGATCAACTTTGACTTCCCCAAGAACTCCGAAACCTACCTCCATCGAATCGGGCGATCTGGCCGTTTCGGCCACCTTGGCCTGGGCATCAATTTTGTGACTTACGAGGACCGCTACAACCTCTACCGCATCGAGAAGGAGTTGGGCACAGAGATCCAGCCCATCCCCGCCACCATTGACCCAGCGACCTACACTTGAGAGATGAACATGCCCGAAAGCGATATTTTGAGATGGCATGCGATCCGCAAGAGATGAACTGACAACAGCTCGCATCCCACAGTCTTGTGCCACAGTCAGTTTTGCTTGTCAGCCCTGAACTTCGCAACCAAATAGGATCGCTGCCCTGTCCTATATGAATCATCACAATTCGAATAGCTATAGGTGCAGTCCAAGCCGAGCCAGCCCGGCCAATCGCATTGACAGAGAGCGTCGCTGCAACGATGGTAGTTTACGGCACATCGTGCAGACGGCGCCGCATAATCCACACGCATACATGGATGCGTGTACATATGTACACAAGTATATATATATATATACACATACATACATACATACATACATACATACATACATACATATATACATATATATATATATATATATTTATGTCTATAGACCAGGTGCACCAAGGGATTTGGGGAGACCCCGGTTCAGAGGTCTCCCCCCATCGAGCTTTTGGCCGAGGCTCATTAATGAAGCCTACAGCTGGCACCTGCACCGCTGGAAATGACACGGAGATGTCCCGTCTGCTCCGAGAAAAGCTTCTGCATGCTCGGGCGATCTGGCGGTTATGATAGAGACTCGACTAGATAGACCAGACTAGACTATATACTAGACTAGACTATACTGCACCCTACAACTTTATACTACCAGACTAGACTATATACTAGACTAGACTATACTGCACCCTACAACTTTATACTACCGGAAGCTCTCAAAACCTCCAATGATCCAACTCCGCGAGGCCGAAGTGCAGACGTGTGTCGAGGAGCAGCGTAAGCAGGGGCTTTGCCTTGGGACCCCGGGCTTGGTCTTGTCGGAATCCCAACTGCCAGATGGAGCTTTCTACCTATTCTGTTTTGCCTTTGGCCTTGTTTGGTGGTTCATGTGACGAGCAAAAGCCAGGACTCTATCTCTATGATCTATAGTTCCGTGCTGCACACAAGCATGCTGCAAGCGTGGCGGTCCGACAATGTTTGCTTCGTATACAGCTGGTTACGCATCGCCCTGTCGAGTTCAGTGGTTGTTCCGCAACAAGATGAGAAACCCGAGTCTCCAAAGGAAACTCGGAACACACCAAGCAACATCAGTTCGAAACTGGCCTAGCACATAGAACTCTATTCTACTTGACACCGCCATGAGCAAGGGTAGCTCGCTTCTTTGCCAGCAAACCTCACAGCAACACTTCTAGCGGTTCTAGCGGAAGCCTCCAGCTGTTTTCACACCGACTGCGCCTGATAGGCCTCGCCTGGATCGTCCGAGTTGGGAGAGTGTAAAACAACACGTCTACAAGACGGCAGCAGTTCCTGTCAGTGGACACCATAGCTGTGTTTGGTTTGTCCCCTGCCACCTCCAGCCCTGGGAGGCAAACTTCAAATCAGTCTCACTCAGTCTTCCACGCCAGGAGCGGATGCAAGCCTCACAGGTGAAAGAGGCTGCGACGCAGACGCTAGCTCGGGTACATCAGAAGCTGGTGCCCCAGTTGCCCAGGCCATACCTGATGTCGGTGAATGTGTTTATGGATTCGCCATGCTGTCAGGGATAGCTTCCCGCCTGTCGTCTCGCGCCATCACACAGCCTCCAAAGCCCTACTTCCCAGGCCTGTGGACACTCATGGCCATGATGCCGGCATCTCAGGAACGTTGAGGTGAGGACTCTGTGCCGGCCTTGTCTGCAGCTCCTGTCTAAGGTAGAACCCATGGGCCC